CCCCCCCCCCCCCCCCCGTCCCCCCGCCAGCCCGTGTCAGGCTGTGTCATCAGCCATTGTTAGCAGACAGAAAAACCCTGCCGCATCAGAAGCCAGGGAGGCTCCGCAGGGAGCACCTTTCCTCCCAGCCTAGAGAAGTGCTGCGAGACTGGGAGAGCATGCCCGGGGCCCGAACTCCAGCAGAAAGCGGGGGCCAGCCTCTGTGCAAAGGAGCTGGCACGCCGAAGCAGCGGCATCAGTGAAAGGTGCCACGCAGACGGTGGCCGCACGCAGCTCTACCTGACTGCTGGCACAGACCTATCGGGCTTGCCGGCCTCATCTCCACCGCTGACGGTGTCTCAACAGGTCTCCACGCAGCCAGCGACAGCCCATTTGTCACTGGTGTGGTACCTTTTGCGAGCATCCATTTCTGTGGGCACGGGTGCTGCCCCACAAGGCCAAGCCAGGAAGCATCCATCCAGCACAGCTCTGCCAAAACCTGGCAAGATCACCACCAGCCCCCAACACCCCTGCCCTGCTGGGAAGCCGTTTTGCTGAACACTCCTTGTCCCTCTGCCTCTTGGCATTTGGGATCAAGCTTTCAAAACCATTATCCATTCCCTCATGCCCACACTCTGCTCCCGGTGCTCTTAAGCATCATCCGGTCATTTGAGATTCCAAAGCATCAGGGGGTCTCTTAACATTTCTCAGAGTGACACTGCAGAAGGAAAGGCAGGCAGCAGCTTCCAGAAGGCTGCTGAATCCAGCCAAGAATAGTGCTCACCTTCTTTACAAAGCATAAGGGCTTAATTAGGGTAGCGTGAAAGCAGGTGCATGGCTTTACTACCTTGTAAAAGAAGAGACAGTGATTGCAATGGTGTTTCATCAGTAGCTGGATGTCCCCTCCTTACTGATGTACCACACAACAGCACAGAAAAACCCCTGGCTGGAATCACAGGGACAGACGGCCAGCTGCCAGCTACACTCAATGATTCCCCATGGTCTGTGGGCACGGTAAGAAATGCCATACTGATAGCTGCCAGTTTAGTGTACCAAAATCTGTCTAGTCAGTAACTGAGGCTTTTCTCCCCACTTGCACCTGATACAACATACTAGCCACCCCCATGCAGACCTCATTGTTTTTAGAGGTGCCAGAGACATCACAGAGATGGTGTTTGTGGGCTGTGACAGGGTGGTTGAACTGGGTGGGCACAGCTCAGACCAAGAAAAAAATACAGTAACTCCAGTCCACCTGGGATAAAAAACGTTTTTGTGATCAAAGTACAAAGACTGGGAGATTTTCATTCAACCAACAGCTCTGTTAACAGCTATTTTGTGAAAGCAGGACGAGGCATTTCATCACTTTAGTCTTCTATCTCTCTTTCTGCAGGGGTAGGAAAACATACCGTGGAGAGCAGACAGGGAAGTGTTTTGGTTATATCTCCAAATAACCAAAGGAAAGGAACTAATAAAAAATCTCTCAATAGACACACAAGGTTTGAAATTACTATTGTCCTGTGCTGGGCATCCCAGCATCAGCACCCATCGAGAAAGTAATAGTACGTTTACTGATCTCTGATGCACTGTGCACAACCTAATGCACAGTGAAGAGCAACAGTTCCATACCAAGCTGATGAAGCAACCGCTGAGAAAGCCAAAAGACTCAGTGAACCTCCCCTGCCCATGTTTTCTCCACATCGCAACCAACAGATATGCCTGTACTTCCCAATCTTCCTTCCATGGCTACAGTCTTGCCTGTCACACGTAGCTTTTGACTAGGCTTTTACAATTCAGGTCGGGAATAATTCCCACAGCAGTTTATCTCACATAAACACATGCACCCCTCACGCATGCTCCTGGCTTCTCCGCTAAAACGGTTGTCCTAGAAAAGACCAGAAATTGCTGCATAGAGATACTATAGGGAAACTGTGTTTTTTCAGACCTTATTGTCAGAAACTAACTACGAATTCCAACTGCAGCACTGTTGGGCACGAGAGGAACCAGGAGGGAGTGTTTGTGCATCTGCAGAAACACGCTAGATAGTTCAAACAATAGCTGTCAGGAAGTAAAAATACTCACGCAAAAGCCAAATCTGCCTATCGCTTGGGTGACAGAAGCAAGGATGGCACTGCTCCCTTCATTTGCGGGCTCAGTCACTGCTTCAGTGCTATCAGCTTTGAGACCTATAGGCGAGTTACCTGCCAGCATAAGGTGGCTCCTATAATTCTCTGTATACTCTCATATTCCAGACCACCCCCCAACTGTGATGCTTTAAAGGTCTCTGAGATACCTTATATCCTAATGGTACAACAGTCCCAAAAATCTCTCTACTAACAAGCACAGCTTAGCTGACAATCTGCCATCCGCAGAAGTCACGATGTGTCCTGACATGCCAGAACAGATTCTGGGGCGGAAAACAAGGAAGGAGGAATAAACAACCAAAACAATGGCCGGGGAGGCACAAACTGCAGAAGGGGACAGAAAAGGCTTTTCTCTAGGGGAGACACCATAGCTGAGATTTTCCTTTTGCCATTCCATTAAAATGGAGAAGACCACCCAACACCTGACTTCATTGCTTCCCTTGGGCCTCAAAGCATGGGTTCAGGACATAGGGGCCATTTGACCAGAATTCCAGAGCAATCTCCTCCACCCCAACCACGACACGATAATGCTGCAGAACAGAGCAAGCGAATCCCAGGGGTTCATCACCAAGCTGCAGGAGTCAGACGAAAGAGCTACCTGTAACATCACCTACACAGACACCACTCACCCACAGCATCTGCAGCTACAGCAAGCCGAGGAAAGGATTTAATAGAGAGAAATAAAGCAACTTGTGAGATTTTGTTACCACTGAGGTGAGAAAGTTCCTGCCGGATCCCAGAGGAGCAGGAACAAGCCCTGCAAACCAGTAAAGCATATCATAAAGGTCCTTGTAGAAAAAGCCTCAGAG